CGACGAAGAATACCGACGGAGACAGCGATGTGCGATGCTAATAGAGACGACTACGTGCGACGCTGACAGATATGACAACTTGAAGGTGGAGTCGGCGACCTAGGGTAATGGCGGTGCGATGATGCTCGATGGATGCTTCACGCGTGGGAGCGAAGATGTTCGATGGCGGTGCGATGATGTTCAATGGGAGCGAAGACAGAGAGACCTGCGTTGGGAGAGATGTTGCGTTGGATAGGGGTCACATTTTTGGAAAATGCAAAACTGAAATGAAAACTCCATTAGGTATAGCCGGGCCATTTTTTCTTCTTTATTTTACGTCTAAAATTCAAAGATGCCTTCACTTTTGAAATAAATTTCTAATCCAAATTAGAAAATCTTTATAGGTTTACGAATTCCTACTTTTATTTTAATAGAATGTTTTTAATTGGATTGATTTCAGTTCCACATTAAATTAGATCAGATCAAACTTTAATAATTATAACAATAAGTCACATAAAAAACAGACATCTAATAGACCATATTAATTCATACCAAATCAAACCTGAAATTTTAATTCAATTAAAAACGTTCTTATTAATGAGTAAACTGTAAAATCTAACAATTAAGAAATATAGATTTTTTTTATTATTGAGTTCATAACAATTATGTTTACTTGAGATGCTTATGTAGCAGACCAATTTAACTTTTTTTGATATATTTTTTTCTTTGTTTCACAAATGAAATATATGTCACATATATTTTTCATGATTCAGAAGATTTTACCTATTTAACCAGAATTCAATCAATTTCAGCAAAATAAATTAATTCTATTTACTTTAGTATTATCAAACAGACTCTATAATTAGACTAAGTTTACTTTTCTTTTAAATCGCATTATATGTGATCGATAGAAATTAAATTTCAAATTAGCTAAATTACATACTGCCCGTGCATCGCACGAGTTTGAAAGCTAGTAATTGATTAAAAGGGAAAGTGACAAAGGTTTTTGGGACGCCTGAGAAAAAAGATAAAATTTTAAGGGAGGAAGGGAAATATAACGTACGGAGTAATAAATAAATTTGGGATTATTTAATTTTCTTTGCCCCACTCATTTGTCAAATGCCATGAGTGCACTGCGCAAAAGGCATGGAGTTGTCTTCTTTTGAGGCGTCCAAATTCCCCCTCCACCGGTGCTATCTAACCATGTGAAATGCCATGGGGGCGGGTTGCTCATAATAATGAGTAACTAATAATGAGACCATTTGTGTATGCATGACTTTGAATTGCAATAAATAATGCTTCTTTTTACACTTTTGTCCATCTTTCTAAAAGTATATACCTTTAAGTTAATGGGAAAAAAGTAAAAGTAAGGGTAAATTTGTCACTTTATTCTTATTTACATACCTAAAATATAAAGTGTAAAACCATTTTGGGACAATCAAAATAGAAAATTTTGCAAATCAAATTAAGACAGAGGGAATATAACATATATATGCATACAAGTATAGTGACATCAACAACTTTTACAACTCTCTAATTTTTTTTAGAAGCATTGAAAAAAATCTTGGAAAATTTAGTTCAAAATGGTTTAAAATAAGATAATTAATGTCTATTTTTAAAAGGTTAAATATGATCAATGAAAAAAGGTTTAATACCTGCTTATACCGTGGAACCGGTGCATGGTGAGCACCATGCACCCTTTGTTATTTTTTATTTGTCCTTTTCTTAAATTTGTTAATAATTTTGTTTTATTTTTGATCCGATTTTTATAAAATTTATATCAAATTTTTTTATTTTTCATGATCTTTCAAATGAGACCAATATTGTCTATGTAATTTTAATTTTTTACATTCATACATTTTTTGTAATATATTTTTATATGCACACTTTTTCTATAATATTTTTTTTATCACTTTTATATGTTTTTAGAGGTTTTTAAGATATTGAGTTTGTTTATTTTGCTTCTAGCTTGGAGTTACATTTGATAATATACGAAGTTACATCATCTTATACTCCACTTACAAGTTATTATGTGTGAGTTACATTTTGTTATGTGTGAGTTACATCTTGTTATATACGAGTTACATACTTTTATGCGCGAGTTACATGTAATTATGTGTGAGTTATATCTAATTATTTGTGATTTTTTACTTATCTTTATCTTGAACTAATTCAATTATAACTGAATTAATATTTTTTTTTGCCAATTTAATACAAAATTTTATTAATCCACATAAAATAAGTATATTGTATTTCATATTCATACACTATTTTTCAAATGATAAAAATGAAAGATGTAGTAGGGGTTTATTTCGTGGTGTAACTCACATACATTAAGATGTAACTCGCGTATATTAAGATGTAACTCGCGTACAATAAGATGTAACTCGCGCAGAAGAAGATGTAACTTCATGATATATTATCAAATGTAACTTCAAAATAATTTGTTAAAATTACATAAGCAATATTGGTCTCATTTGATAGATCATGAAAAATTAAAAAATTTGATATAAAATTTATTAAAATCGGATATCAAATAAAAAAATTATTACAATTTTTAACAATAAAAGAAATAAAAAATAATGGAATGAAGCCACTGCACCTGCGTCGTTTTGAATGAAGCCTGCGTTGTTTTGCAACCGGGCGCATCATCCTCATGGTGCGCCGGTTGCACGGTATAAATTGCCGTTAAATACGGATGTCGTTTTCATGTGGATATTTTATCAAAATTATCTGGAACCGTTGAACATCTGCGTCTATTGAACAACCATTATGATTCCCCAAAAAACTGAAACATTCACCGCATCGATCGTAATAATCTAAAAATATTTCATTATGATTTTACGTAAACCGGAGTACAAATAATTTTGATAAACGCATATACATGACTCTAATCAATAGACTTTTGTGTGTTATTAAATTTTCAAATAAAAACTTTTTGAAGATGTTATGTTTTATGTAGATAAAATAAAATCGAATATAAAGTTCATTGATAGAAAATTTGAAAAAACTGAAACGGCTGAAGAAAAAATGTAATGAACAATATCGACGGATCTACCTGATCTTTAGGCTCACTACGGTGGGTTGTTTCGCTACCATATAGTGGGGGTTGTGATCTTACCGTTGTCATGTAATCGATCTATACAGCATTACTGGGTGACCTATTGCGGACCATCGGTGTCTTCGTTGCTGGAGGTTCCAGGTTGTGGTGGACCATTGGCGGACAATGAGTAGAGAAATCCCGCTGCGCCACCTGCTTTCGCCGGCTTTAAGTTAGGGAATTTTGGTTTTCTTTGTAATGGGTTTGAGAGAATGTCTTAGGCAGCGTTTGTGTTTCCACAGTTTCTTGCCTACCCGCTGCAAATTACAGCGTTTTGCAGTTCAAAGCAATCAGCGGATTGCTCAAACCACTGCTATCCAAACGAGGCCTTAGTTAGCCACAAGAATGAAGGGTTTGGTTCCCCTGTGGAATGGACTAATGAGGAGCCGAGCGGTGAGGGATGCATTTTATTGGGCCTCACACTTTCTAACAGCACTGGACTAATAATGAAAAGCCTGTTAAAATGCAAGGCCCCTGGAACTTGGTTAGGCAATGGCCCATGCTCACAAGTTGTCAAATATGGTTACACATTTCCACATACTTGCACCCTCTGATTTCCCGTTTACCTAGGCAATTCGTTAAAATAATGCAATTCGTATAACCTTATTACTTATTTACTAAAATAATTTACCCTCAATAAAATTACTTTTGAAAAAGGAAAATTCTTTGGCAAAGTCATTTGTGTATCGTGCGGGTCAATTACTACTAGAAGAAATAATTTTAAAAGGGGTTAGTGTGAGACAGAAAGTGCCAATTCTCAAACATTCATTAACAATTTCAGATGTTAGCTTATCATTCCAATTTCAGAAGCGATAATACCCAAACATGACTATAAATAAAAATTAAAGACAATCATTGTCGCGTCTTTGTTTGTTATTGAAAAAACATGTTTTTAATATAGTCATGATTAACTTTATGCAATTATGTTTAAAGTAACAGTCGAGCATACAAAATATATATTGCAAACGATGACAAAGGAACGAATAGTGATATCAAGAATTTGTGTATAAAGAAGTGTTTCATAATGTTTTTGAATGGAATATAATGGGGTAGTTTGGATTCAGCCTTTCATCCTCAACACACTGCTTTTGAAACCAACAGTTTTCAAATTATTTCATATTTCGTGTTACTTGCTATTTTGTGGGGCTATAAAAAATTATGTACTACTCCCTAATCATTGGAAAAATGTATTAAATACTACCACTGTCCCGTTGAAAGTTTCATATATATGGCAAAACGACACGGTTATGAAAACAATAATTGAATAAGGTAGTTCGAGTTTATATCGAGAAATAATTTTAATGGGTATATATTATAATGAGATTAGTGTTTATAAATGTGATATTATAAATATATTATTTTCAATATTTAGTTATTAATATGTCATTTAAGATGGTTAATTGTTTTGTAAAATGAAAACGAAAACCTTTATGTGGAGCGTCCTAAACAGGAACTGAGAACCTTTCTATGAGACGGAGGGGGGTATATTTCATTTTATGTCAAATTGTATTATTATATAATTCTAAACTATTCAATTGAAATTACAAATTCGATATTTATTTCTAATTTGACTAAAATTTCAAAGATAAAATTTCACCAATCTTGCATCACATGGGTGTTCTACTAGCTTGTGAAATGCCATGAGCGCACTGCGGAAAAGGCATGCAATAGTTTCTCTTGAGGCATCGAAATTCCCCCTCCACCGGTGCTATCTAACCAATTTGGCACTGAAAAATACATGGGTTGAAGTATATTTGAGAGTCAATATCTTAAAATTGTTTTTTCACCCGTAGGGTTGCATGCAGCCTAAGGCATATAAATGTCGCCGTCTATTAATTCTTGGGGTCAGAAGCACGTGGGATTATCTGAGAAGGCTCATAAATGTCTCCGGTCCCTTCTTCTTCTTCTTAAAAGATACGTAGCAGAGACGAAAACGAAAATGGAGTGTAGGTGAGAGATTAATGGTTATGTTCTTAAAGCTCAGACAGAGCAGGTTTCGGGGCCAACCGACTGCCATTAATTTGGTGGCCAATTCAAGCTCGCCCAGATTTTGAGTTTTACGGCGACGGGAGCATTTAAATGGAAGCATCCATCACATTGCTTACCTTTCTCTCCTCCGCCTGTTTCTGAATTACTAGGCCTCCTCTCATTCTAAGGTAAGCACTTTCAAAATTTTCTAGGAAAAATTCCCGAAATAGGAGTAAAAATGTTTGAAAATTCCAAAATAGGACTATCGTGTTTTTATTCTCAAAATATGACTACTACTGTCATGTTTGAAAAATAATGTCTTGTTTAAAGTCTGGTACTGCCAAAACATGACAGTAATTAGTTCTATTTTGGGAATAAAAACATGATAATCCTATTTTGGAATATATGAACGTTTTTAGTCCTATTTTGGGTAATTTCTCAATTTTCTATTACGTCCGGTGGTATATATATCTACTGATATTTTCATAAAATTTTCATATTTTAATTAGAAATATGTATGTTTCCCCTTAACTTTTAGTTTTCAGAATTAATGTATAGTCTTACATAAGTGTTTTTTTACAAAAGTATTAGTACTAAAATAAAATTTATTTACAAAAGCATGATTATTAGTTACTACAATATAGGGTTATAGTAATTTAGATTTAAAATTTGAACGTAAGGTACTACTCGTATGATTCATTACTACTTTACTCATTAATCACATTTTTGTAAACAGTCTTCATTTTAGTCATAATTATTTTCTTACATAATGTAATACTTAATTAGAAATTTAAAATAAGAAACATCTAGAATAATTTACATAACTTAAACAAATAAACAATAAAACAACTCATTGTTTAAGACTTATAATACTTATCTTTATCTTTATCGAATACAAAGTAACAGTTTCTGCACCACAATTGCAGGGAAAAATCCCGCCCAAAATGAAGATATAATGGTGAATTAATGAAAAAATTAAATTTGGTAAATTATTAACTAAGCATTAACGTATGTAACAATTCCGTTCCAAAAAAATTAAGTACGTTACAAAGAATAAAAAATTTATAAAAAACAAAGAAGAAAAATAAAATCCCATATGTTGAGGTTTAATCCTGTAGATCCGAAAGTCCAACACAAACTTTGGATATATCAGGAAATGGACGATAATTCAGTGTATAAAAGAAATATATAAAAAAGATGATATCCACGAACACTCAAAGCCCACTTGTATTAAGTAATTTGATTATTACACTGTAAACTACCCGAACGGTAAGTCGAGATAGTAATTAATAAGAAATCAGAGAGATAATGCTATTCTAGGCTTGAGTATCAAAATGATAACCTTTTACAATGAAAAATCCTTCTATTTATACTAATGAGGGGTATGAGGTATTCATGTTGATTGGCTGCTTTATGTAGCCACTTGGAACCAATGCTCCCACTAGCTGACGTCGTGCTTTTAGCAATAAATGCCCCTGCCACTTGTTGGCTACCCGTTGCCCGAACGGGCAGTGAATCCTGCTGCAATCATCATTGATCTGGCCCAAGTTCGTTGAGTAGTCTGATCCCCATTCGGTACATCTGATCTGGAGTCATTATTGATCTGGCCCATTAATGATTTGGCCCAAAGTATGTTAATCGATCCGAACCTCGTTCAGTACATATTTTCCCAAGAGCTGGTTCATTTTCTGGATGATGGGCCCGTCTAACGAAATGGATATCTTGGACCTTAGATCCGGGTATTGGGCCTGCGGCCCAATATCCCAACACCATATTTTTTTAAAGTGCTGTAACTTTTTTATTTGTACTCAGATGGTTACAAAAAACATATCAAAATTCATAATTTTTTATTATCTTTCATATGACACCAATATTGAATATCTAAAAATAACCAAAAACAACACTTTAAAAACATCTATTTTTTAAGTGCTATAAATTTTTTATCTGTACTCCGATTGTTACAGAAAATATATCAAAATTCATAATTTTTTATTAACTTTAATGTGTCACCAATGCAGAATATCTTTATATAATACTACGCATGAAATAGAAAATTTGCTACAATTATTGGAAGGAAAATTCTCGAACAAAATAAAATCTTTTTTTTTATCTTTACAAAATATATAAAGTAAAAGTGTTGCTACAACTATTGAAGGGAATATCCCCGCCCAAAGAAAAGACATAATTGGAAATTAATGTTGAACTTGAAAAATGTCACCCAAGGGAGAAACGGTACAGTAGAGCATACATGCATATAAGGAAATGAAATATATGATGAAGTATTTATTGTACACAAATCTTTATCAAACAATACGTGTATATCAATCTGCAAACGAGATATAATAGGATAAACTGTCAACCTACTATAAAAAGTGTATTCAACAAATTAACTAAAAATCAAAATACTGTAAGTAAATATGCAATCAAGATATTAGATTCGCTAACCTGCTATTGAAATTTACGATCTCCAATAAAAAAAGTATTATATTTTTCAATGATTTTTGTTATACGAACCACACAAAAAAAGAAAAATACTGCCTTAAATGTAATATATGTTGTATATGTTATGTACGTATAGGTAATTACACCTAAACAATAAAAAAAGCAAGTGCAAAATCTAAATAATCCATATTCTCTCCCATTGCATAAATGTGCCTAAATTATTCTGTCCAAATTTGGTCCAAAAATAGTACTACCTCTGACCCCTAATATTTGAACAAAAGAGAGTGATATTGTTTTTAAGAAAAATAGAATTATGTGGTTGATAATGAGATGTTAAAGTGGAAATAAAGTAAGAATGAATTAAAGTGATCACACAAATGTTATCAAATACGGTATAAGACAATAATAGGGGGACATCCCAAAATGAAAAAATGGGACAATCATAGGGGAAGGGAGGCAATACCATTGAAGCAATTTTAAGTTCTAAAACCTAAATAATTTAATTGCTTATATAAATAGCAACAAAATTTCAATTCCCATCTTCAAACTCTGTATATATACTTAATTTTCCGCCTTTCATTAACAATCCCCGTAAGAACAATGCATCTAGATGAAATCCAGTCCAAATCTATTACGTTGTGCTATAAAAGATATAATTAGCGAACAGGGAAAAATCATATAGAATTATATAGAATGTTAAATCTGATGAAGTGTGTAATATTGTTCTTATATAAGCTAATTATTTTATATAAATATGTATACATGTTAAGTTATGCATATATATATATATATATATATATATATATATATATATATATATATATATATATATATATATACATATTATATGTGTATCCATGATGCTAAAATGTAGGTGTTTTTTTTTTCTTCCTAAAATTAAGATCATGTGGGAAATGAAAAAGTAATTTTGATTCTCAAGAGCTTAGAGACATTAAAAAGTGAAAAAGTAATATAAGAAGTATTTTATATTGTGTTTACTTGGATTGTTTTCAGTGCCAGACCACAACAGATCAAGCTTCAACATACCAGACCAGAACACACTTTCATAGTTATCAAAAACCTAAAGACCAGACATTTACCAGACCAGTCCCGAACAGTTCAGACTATACCAGAACAGACTTAAACATACCAGATCAGATCAACAAATTTCAGTCCAAGTAAAAACATCCAAAACGGGATGATGAAGTATATATTATTTACTGTGTAGGAAAACTTCATTCTAATGCGTGAAATCAAGAGTTACATGTTTGATAGGAAAAATGGTTGATAAACCATGATTACCTAAAAAATGTATGGTCACCAAACGGGCCCATCCCACCACAAAAGTTTTGTTTTTGCTTCTTTTTTCAAAAGTGGTTTATTTTAAATATTAGGTGAGAAGAGATTGATAGTAAAATTCGGTAGTGTTTGAAAACAATTGAATTGAAAAGAAAAAGATATAGCGTTTAACCTCAGATTAGACTAGAGTCAAATAGACTATATTAAACCACACTTCGATAATTACAAAAATACACAAAAATATGACATTTACCAAATCACTTAAGACCAGACCAGACTAGACCATAATTTTTTTTATCAAATTTAAAACATCCTAAACCACAACAGTAATAACTAAAATATCACAACACATACCAATGCAATTATCATTGTTAATATAAACTTGAATAATTATATTTTACTATGGAATTAGACCACAACCAAATTTTAAATATTTTTTGTATTTGCACCCCTTTATTCAATGTGAATTGTTTAGGCTTGATTGAAACCACAAAAAATACATTAACATATGATTGTTCTCCACTTTTTGAGTAAATTAGATGCAACCTCTTATTGACATAGTGTTTTTAATATTTGTATGAATTATATACATCTTAATAATATAAATGAATATTTACTTTGTATTTATTTGTAAACCATCTAATATGTTTATCTTTGCACTTTATTAAATCTTGCAAACTTGGAACAATTCTTTGCATCAAAACAGAGTTTGATAAATGAAAGTTTGCACCTAATATGATTTCTCGCTCACACGGCTAATAGTAAATGTGTTTTGGAGGTGAATATTATATCCGGCAAAAGTATTGGTCAAACACTTTTTATTTCACAATTATCATTGGTCCCGTCATATGACAAAGTTTTTTCACATTTTAACGCTGGAAATCCTCAATCATCGTTTCATTTTCCACGAGTCCATAACATAAAAAATAATCAAAGATAATGTCTGTACAAGTGGATATACATTGCAATTACATTTTTATGCATGGTCAATTGTATGTTATCATATAAAGTGGCACCTCAATGGGTGGGTTAAGGATTCATATATTTGATGATGAGGGTCATGTTATCAACATCAGTGGCCTAAATGATTTTTTGAAAATTTATGATACTTTTTGTATATTATGAAGATATATGATTATTCTTTTTTATAAAGTTTCATGTGACTCACTAATAATTGTATTACAGTGTCATTTCATTGTAACATGGAGCTTACTTTTACACTTTATCATTAATTTTAATTTTAATTTTAGTTTTACTTGCATTTTTTCATACAACCCAAATTTTCATTTGCTTACAACTTCTATGATATAAAGTTACAATATACTCCGTATAAATGCTATTGTCTTTTTTATTTAGCAAAATTACATAATATGTATCATCTTAACAAAATATAATTTTAAATAATGTGTTAATGTACTCCGTATTATATTCTAGATGTATCTCATGCATCGCACGGGTACTTCGTCTAGTTATATAAATATTCATAGTTTTGTAATGTTTAATTATGTTTATTAGACAACTAGTATTTAAAATATCAAACGATATTAAATATTAGACATACTAGTTAAACGGTTTTTAGATCATGTGAAAAGAAAATGGGCAAATAAGCCTTTGATAGACACACCTCTCAACTCATTAAAAATTAAGCAATCATATCATTTTTACCTGTTGGTGTCGGTAATTTCTCATGAGAAATTAAAGTTAAATACTTATCTGCACAAACGGGTAAAAAGAATCTTAGTGCTAAATTCTCAAATATATATAAATGTTTGTTAACATTACATTACACAATTCATTTACTTCTTACTTTCTAAAAACAATGCATTGCACAAAATAAATTTCAACTTATTTCATCCTTAATGCATACTCCCTCCGTCTTAAAACTTTGTCATTTTTCTTTTTTGAAACGTCCCAAAAAACTTTGTCACTTTCTCTTTTAATCAATTATTTTGGGGAAAAGAGTTAAATAAGGCCTTCTACTATTACGAAAGTGTCACATAAGGTCATGTACTCAATAAAGTGTCAGATAAATACGTCTACTTATAAAAACTAATCAAATGAGTCATTTTTGTCTTGTATTTAAGTCGATCCTGACTAAATATTCCATGTTAGCCTTATAATCTGTTTTAAAAAGATAACCGCCGAATGTACACTAAAATCAGGATTATGAGGTTGTCAAAAAGTCTTTAGGACTAATTTGATTGCTTTTTATAAGTAGACGTATTTATATGACACTTTATTGAGTACACGGGCTTATGTTACGATCTCGTAATAGTACAAGGCTTTATTTGACCATTTTCTCATTATTTTGGTTTTTGTTATTTATCTCGCCTCTGCACAAACATCAACCACACAGTTTTTACTTTATTATTCTTCGTACCGGTCAAACTTGACAAAGTTTTGAGGGACGAGGGTAGTATATAATATGGACCATATCACTAGCAATATAATATTATTCTAAAAATAATATATAATGATTATAATCTCATAGATAACATTGTAAATCAGGAAACTCTGCGCGACTCATGAACACCCTCCTTAAAATTAGTGAGCACGTAGTAATTAAGTGCAATCCTTGGTCATACAATTTTTCTGAGCAGGTAGTAATCAAGTGCAATCCTTGGTCATATGCACCCTAATTAATGCAGCGATGGCTATTATAGTCTTTCCTTGCTATCTTCTGCACATAGCATCCTTAGCTGAAATTTGTGGCTTATCTGCATATATATTCAATTCTAGCCCCCCATGGTCTGGCTGATAGAGAGGGGCTATAACAGCCAGAATGAGGTGGATATGAATGAGGTAATGATGAACAAAGAAAAACGCATGTAATTGTTATACTAGACAATAAAGAGTACTTATAGAACATTCCCCTCCTCATTCAGTTCATTTTTATTGTTGTTGTTATTTTTTTATTTGTCTGTTTATCCCTTTTTGCCATATATGGGTATAGGTTTCTGGTCTTAGAAGGTTATGGATCATCCACTCAGAGGGCTGCCTGAGACCTCTATAAACAGATTCGAGTTAGAGAATGAGGTCATTTTTCCTACCGTTGAACAATCACTGGGCATTCCAGACAATGATACTATTCATGGCCTTAGTACTCATTCTCCTTCTTTGGACTGTGATCCTATGCTAGACTATATTTGCCAGATTCTACTGGAGGAGGATAGTGTTGATGGGAACAATGACAACATGTTCTTTGACCCCATTGCTCTTACAGCTGCTGAGAAATCGTTTTATGAAGCCTTGCGTGGTAACCCTTCCTCACCATTTTACACTAATGATATTGATCTCGTTGAATCTAAATCATCTGTGACCTATGATTTGAGCTATGATGTTGATTCTGTTGAATCTATATTATCTGCCACATGTGATCATCCCGATTTTACCATCCAGCCATCATCAAGGCAGACTAACTTGGATGAGCTAAATGGCGCTTCACGTAGCCTTCATAGCCTTAATTTGGTTCCAAATATATTTTGTGATCAGACTGAGTCGATCTTGAAATTAAAGAGAGGTGTGAAGGTAGCTGATAAATACGGATTTCCCACAAAGGCCAAAAGTGATCTCATCCCTACAGAGAAGGGCCAATCAGCTGAATTGTGTAGAGGAAGGAAACATTACCATCCAGATGAAATTGGGTGGGAAGAAAGGAGAAGCAAGCAGTCTGCAGTATATAAGGAGGAGGCTGAGTTGTCAGAGGTGTTTGATAAAGTTTTGTTGTGCACTGATGATAATGACTCTCCATCCAGAGTTGGCTGCCCACAACAGAAAGGGCGAAGTGGTCGCAAGAGCCATTCAAAGAAAAGAAGAGATAATTATGAAGTTGTTGATCTAGAGTCCCTTTTAACCAGCTGTGCACAATCTGTTGCTGCTAATGATTATAGGGCTGCAGAAGATAAATTAAAGAAGGTCAGGCAGCACTCTTCGCCTTCCGGCGATGCAAACCAAAGGCTAGCTAACATATTTGCTGACAGTCTTGAGGCACGGTTGGCTGGAACTGGGGCACAGCTGTATGCGGCTTTATCTCCTAATAACATCATAATCACCGAGACACTAAAATCCTACCTGTCATGTTTGCCATTTACGAGATTATCAATTTTATTTGCTAATAACATGATTTACGAAGTAGCATCAGAAGTTGCATCACTGCATGTTATAGATTTTGGTATTCTTTACGGTATCCAGTGGCCCACTCTTATTCGGGATCTGTCACATAGACCTGGTGGCCCTCCAAAACTTCGAATAACAGGGATTGATCTTCCACAACCTGGTTTTCGTCCATCACAAATGTTAGAGGAAACTGGTTGTCGCTTGGCAAAATATTGTGAGCGTTTCGGTGTACCATTCGAGTACAATTTCATAATGGCGAACAATTGGGAGACACTTAAAACCGCTGAATTCAAGCTTGTAAAGGGTGAGGTGGTTGCTGTTAACTGTATTGATCGACTCGAACACCTTTTGGATGAAACAGTAGTTATTGGGGAAAGCCCAAAGGATGCAGTTCTAAATTTAATCAGAGAAGTAAATCCTCATATATTTGTGCAATCTGTGCGTAGTGGAGCTCACAACTCTCCTTTCTTTCTCACTCGGTTTCGGGAGGCTGTCTCCTTCTATTCTGCTGTCTTCGATATGTCAGGTGCTACTTTACCTAGCCATGGTAATGAGAGGTCGAATTTCGAACAACAATTTTTGAAACGCGATATAATCAATATTATTGCATGTGAGGGAATGGAAAGATTGGTGAGACCTAACACATACAAGCAGTGGCACTCTCACATGATGAGGGTTGGCTTCAAGCCGTTATCCATAAACCCTGAACTTATGAAGAAGTACATGTGCAAGGTGAGGGAAGGATATCACAAAGATTTTCTTTTTGCACAAGACGGGCATTGGATCATACAGGGATGGAAAGGTCGGATTTTTGGAGGCACCTCTTGCTGGGTAAGTGCACAACGTACTCACAACCTCTGATTATATAACTTATATCTTTCAGCATTTCGGAAACTTTACACAGAGTAAAGTTTGAGCAATATTGCAATTACCATTTCAAGCTTTCATGTGTTGCTATGTCTTTACAATATAGCTTACAAGTCTCAAGTTATTCTCAAGAGTTTAAAGCCTTATGTTGTTGACAAGAAAAGTTGTTTGAGAACATCAATCGAGGGCGTTTTCTAGCTTTGAATTTGTTTGCTTAAGAAAATCAAAATAGATTATATATCCTATCAAGGTGTTTGCTTGCTATATATTCTTCTTGTAAGAAGAAGAATGTTTAAAGAGACATGTCTATGTGAACGTACATTGTCTTTATATGAAAGCTGTACTCTAAGATGAAGCCTTTTTATACTTTGCTGTTGCATATTGTTGCCAATGATTTGTTTCTCATATTTTGTTCCTCTTCTTCTCCTGTGTAGTTAATATGCCATGGTAGATGTTATGCATGTATGACCACCCCCACCCCCCACCCCCACCCCCACTTTACACATAAGCGATGCGAACTTTAATATGCCGGAAACAAGGGTATGATAGAGAACACAAGAAAAAACTCGTTCATTAGTCAAGAATATTGACTGATGGGACTAACCAACTTGTAAGTTTTTTTAATGTAACCAAATTGTATGTTGTAACTAGGGGTGAGTTCGGTTCTTTCGGTTCGGTTTTGACCTAAAACCAAATACGGAATCAAAGTAAAAGTTCTGTTCGGTTTCGGTTCGGTTTTACACTCCAAAACTTCAAAACACGGTTTGTTTCGGTTCGGTTTCGATTTTTTCGGGTTTTTACTAAATATTTGTCATTTAATTTAAATTTGTTATAAAAGTTGGAGGGATAAAACATATTACATTAAAATGCAAGCATACTTGAACAATTGAAGAAAATAATAATAAACAAATATGTCTTAAATTATACTTCCTCTGTCTCTTTTTAGTTGCAACATTCCTCTTTTTACGTTTGCCAACACACAACTTTGACCGTCATTATATTTAATTCCGTATTAGTAAAAATAAAATAAAAGTCATATTATAAAACTTAGTAATGAGACGAATTTAAAAATATTTTTTAAAAAAAATCATTCACATATATTAATAAATAAAATGTAGTCAAAGTAAAGTACATGAATAGTGTAAATATTCCAATGTTGCAACTAATGTGATACGAAGGATAGTATGAGTATGCGGGAGAGATAAAAGTGTGTATCTATTCTTAATTTACAATGTTTGTGACTAGTTTGAAAAACGATTATGAATATAGCTACATACATACATAAAATACATAATAGATCAATATAGCTACATACATTCTTATGGGCAATGAATGTGTAAATGCATTTATAAACTAAACTAAATATAGCATAAACATTATTTCTCTAGCACAAGAAATTCAAAGATTATTGATGATATTAAGATCAATGCTTACATTTAACAAATAAAATTTCATATTTTATTTATGTTCGATTTGTTCGGTTCTGAAGGGTAAAAACCAAAATCGAACCAAACTACTACGGTTCGGTTCGGTTTTTACATTCGGTTTTGGTTTTTAGCGGTTCGGTTTTATTTGGTCGCGGTTCGGTTTAATTTGATTCGGTTTTCGGTTTTCGGTTTTTCAGACCCAGCCCTAGTTGTAACATAATAATCTCACCCTAATGGTATGGAAAATAAATTCATATGATATTAGCTATTACCCATCAAGTATTAAAAATATGTACTACATTCACTCCAAATAATTAAGTGTATATTGAAAATATTGCAGCACCACATTTTTACCAGGAAATTTATGGTGCCCTATGATTCTAAAATTGAGTCATATAGCACATGTGACATCATCACTATCATCCATTTCTTAAAGAGAGCCCTCCATTATTAATTCGAAATTAAAAAGAATGAGTATTATGATGTCATGTTGGTGGTCTCCATAAAAAAATCTTTTTTATATATGCCCATAAAAAACTAGTGTAGAATATTGTTGAAGTCTCACATCGGTAAAATATGAAGTAATAAAGTGATATATATAATCATGGTTATTCCTCTTATTAGGTTGACTTTTTAGGATGAAACTCATTTAGCATGGTATGAGAGTCAAAACTAGGCATGAATTCGGGCCGGGTCGGGCCCGGGTCGGGCCTAGGCCGGGCCTCCGGTTTGTGAATGGTGGGCCCGGGACCGGCCCGAGGTACAGGCGTTTCCGATTCGGGCCGGGCCACCTGCCCGGGTCACGGGTCGGGCCACGCCCCGGGCCGGGCCGGGCCGGTTGAATCCATTTTTTTATAATTTATACTTTATAGTTTTATACAAGTATTAAAAACAAACTTCAAGTGCATTTATTTGAAATGAAATAGGAACTATATTTGACAATTAAGAAAAAAATACAATATGAAATTACAATTGAGAATTGAAGGTAAAATTAAAACATGAAATACTAATCAATCGGAATCTCCGTAATAGGTAGAGCTACCCTCGGTTGTAGATTCATCCATAAAGTGTTGGGATGGAGTGATGTCAATTTCCAGAGCTCTACGGGCCGCCTTCAACCAATCGTGGTAGCATATAAGCATCTCAAGAGATTCTGCGCTCAACCTCGTTCTATATTGCGTTAGGACATTGCCGCCCGAACTAAATTTTTGTTCGACGGCAACTGTTGAAACCAGCATTGAAAGCACTTGCTTAGCCATCTTTGCTAAAACCGGGGAATATATGTATTTATAAATAGATAATTAATATATAAATAACTATATAAGTAGATAAGAAATATAAGTAATATAATATATGTATTTCTAAGTAGATAAATAATATAAGTAGATACATAATATATTGGAGAATAAAAGAATTTGAGAAGATGAAGATAATTAGAGAGTAGAGAGTAGGATTTAGGAAGAGTTGGAGAAGAGATATGGAAAAATATTTAAGATTAGGAGTATTTATAGTTTTTTACCCCACCCCCACCCCACCCCCCAAACCGCCCGGACCCCCCCTTCCAGCCCATCCAACGGCTATATAGCCGTTTGGGTAGTCCCCAGCCCACCCCCAACGGCTATTTGTGGCCCAAACAAAAAAAAAATGTTTTTTGACCGTTGGACCCGGACCCAGGCCAGGTCACCTTTTGCCTGAACCGAGCCCGTCCCGCCCTTCCCCCCGATTCGGGTCTACACCCGGTCCCGGACCGCCAGACCGGGCCGGGTCACGGGCCGGATGGCCCGAACTGAATCCAAGCCTAGTCAAAACGGTTCATAACCATGGTGTGGTCCTATATGAAAAATGACGATGTCATTATGAATAAATGACAATGGCGAATGATAAAAAAAAAAGCGGGCACATAAGTCCTTGTACTTTTACGAAATTGTCAATTGAGTTATCATACTTTAAAGTTAATCAATTGAGTTCTTGAAGTGATAAAAACAGTCAAATCGGCTATTTAGCCTAGGGGTGGGATCGGTCCAGGTTTGGTCGGGTTTTTGCTCTACCCGGAAATTACCCGAAACTTCTCGGGTTATGAAAAAATGGGACCGGAAAAAAGCCCGACATATTCGGTCCGAGCCGGGTTTTTTGAGGCTCAGGTTCGGGTAGGGTCGGTTAAAGCCCAATAAAAAAATATCATTGTTTTTATTAAAACAAGTATTCAAAAAAATGTTCCATAATCAATCAAAACGATTCAACCTTCTCAGTTTCTATTATAGTCAACGCATTGGTCCAAAAAAAGTAACGCTATTTCAAGCACAACAAAAGTATTGATCCAAAACACTCATTAAGAGCCAAACATAAATACTACCAAAATCACAACATCAAAAATTCAGACTTAAGAGACCCAAGTGAGTATTTGGACTTGTTTCCATAAAATATTTTAATTTTTTATAATAAATTATAATGAAATATTCGGGTCGGGTTTTGGTCGGTCTGAGCCGGTTTGTAATTTTTAGGGACGGGATTTGGTCCCGGAATTTCAGGTTCGGTCCGTGTTTTTTTAACCGGCCCGTCAAAAAAAAAACGGCCCGGTAACATTTTTCGGTCCGAGCCCGGGTTGGTTTTCGGGTTTCGGTTCGGTTTTCCCACCCCTAATTTAGCCTGTTGGATACAAGTAATGTCGGTTATTACTGACTTCGACACCCATGTGGCAGTTCTTTGTAATTTTTTATTTTCTTTTTCTTTTTCATTCCCTCTTTTTTTTCTTCTTTCCTTGTTGGTTCTTCTCCCATTAATCTCCTCCGAGTAATGTTCTAAAAGGCGTAAGGCGTGCCGAGGCGGCACGTCCAAGCCTTAAGCCTTTGAAGCCTAGGCGGGCTTAGGCGGGATAAAGGCGTAAAAAGGCGTTTTGATTTTTATCCTTTATTTTACTATTTCTAGAAATATTTTCAAAATAATAAAGTTTAATATTAAATAATGTTATTAAAAGCATGATGTTTATCTCATTTTCAACAAAAAAGATTTGTCGAGTCCTAAATCCAACAAATCGGTAGTATATTTTTACCAACGGCATAAAAAGAAATAATAACTAATATATTACCAAAATATAAGTAATGGACAAAAATGTTCTTTAATTATTCTTAGTGATTGTAGGTACATTTAAACTTTACGCTGTAGTGACTATATAAATATACTTATAATCACTCTAGTCGTATATCTCGTTAATAAAATTTACTATTCAAATATTTTATAAAAAACATCTAATAAAAATGATAAACATGAAATAGAATAATAATATATAATAATAATAACAAGGATTACAAACACAATAGTATTAATATTACTAAACATACAGGTAAACATATAAACATATTAATAAGAATAACAGTAAATAGTACTCCATATAGTTTTTAGTGAATTACTGTATTTGGTACGTGTTATAAGATTATACGTAGTAATAATTTACAATGTTTAATTCTTTGTAAAAGAAAGAGAGCTGTTGTGACCAAATTCGAAGGCAAGCTGGGTTCGAATCCCGCCTCATGCCCTCATCTTTGTTTTAATTTTGAGTGCCTCTTCCGAAGTACGTAATTTTCATTTTTAACCTTACCCATTCTTTTTTCCCACATCGGTAGGCGAGAAGCAATCCTCATTCACCAAACTCTATAAAAGAAGTCCATCTTGCCAATAGGAAGTAAAGCCTTCAAATGAATGAAAACGTCATGCGCGCCATTAATTAAAGGCTAGAAAAAAATTGCACGCTTTTTCGCCGCCTAATGGGTAGGCGAGGCGTTCTACTGGCGCCTCAAGCCTATGCCCGATTAGTCGGCGCCTTTAGGAGCCTTTTAGAACAGTGCCTCCGACCAGTATGTTCTTTAATTTCAATTTTTTCTTTTTTTTTTTACTTCAGGGGGTCTGGGAGAGGGGGGCTGGGGCTGGAGTAATCAGGGCTGAAACT